CATATCTTGTGGCTGAACTATCATAGTATGATTTTCGTTTGGGAAAAGAATGATGTAGTGACGAGTGTTTCCCAAAACTGTAGTTTCTCTGTCACAGATCCATTGTTTGAACCATGTTAGTTATAACCATTAACCATTAATAACATGGTGGAGTAACAACTTCTTTAGAGAAAAAAAAACATAATTTTTTGTGCAAATTATGTTGTATTACACATACACACTTTTTTTTAAGTACAATATTAGGCTATTTTTTAGTGAAAACATGCACCTCCATATTAACATGCATCTCCATATTAACTGAAATATACAAATGCTAAAATTATATTCCAAATTCTGTTCTAAAACATAAAACCACTTACAAAAAGCTAACAGCTAATTTCATATATAAATCATATAAATTGTTAATGGTTGTAATTTACAGTCTATTTATTAAGAAATAAAAAAAAATCTAAATGAATAGGGCATAAGGTGGATAACTAGTAATAGAACACAACCAGGAACTATGCTCCTAACTACAACTCTAGAAGTGTATTTGCAAGCGTAGCTTTGCTTTGCTACTTGCGACCTTAGTTGGCTAACGATGGTTTTTGGAAAAAAAAAATGCTAGGACGTTTTTGTAATTTTTCCCAAAAAGCACCATTCACTCATCAATTCTAAAATACTTGCAAAATTTAAATTGGTAATAAATAATGATGAAAAAATGCATAGAATTAATGCAAGAAAGAAAATAAATAAATAAATAAAATACTTCTGGTACACTGTGCTAGTTGTGGCATCTTTGTGTTGCCTTATTTGAATATGCTTGAAAAAATAATTGTTGTTTTTGTTAGTGATTGCTAACAAAATTCATTGTTTTATTTAGGGTTCCACAATCATTTGAGCATCAATATCACATATATCGCTATATAATTTCAGCATTGATATCACAATGTGTGTCTGCTATAGTCGCAGGATATGTAATGTTGAGTTGGGTTTAGTTGACCAGAAGCCATCCTTTTTTTTTTTTTTTGCCTGTATTTTCAAGGCCTGTGACTGTATAAATAGTTCAATAGAGTTTAAAGCATTCAGGAACAAGAAATTGGACCATTGTACCTATGGTAATAAAGGTATAAATAAACGATATTATATCGAATTACGATAAAATTTTTGTCAATGACAATGAAAAGCTCTGGACATTTTTACTCTATACTGATCTAAGAGCCAATCAGCAGCAATATGCAACAGTGGGAATCTAAAAGTATGTTGATATTAGAGATATGCAGATTTTTCAGCGGTAGTCTTTGTTGGGGTACTCTTTGTTGTGATTTATTCTTTTGTTTAGCTTTGTTGTTTTGTTTCAGACACATACTAGAAATTCATTATAGTGCTTAGAGCCTTTCCTCCAAACAATGAAAAAAACATCCATCACAACCAAGCATACATTAAATACATCATTTATTACGTAATACAAATGGCATGACACTTGTATTTCATAAATACCACCAATATAGACAAACAAAGTTGAACGTACTTCACTGCAGTCCAACAAAACAGTGATAAATCTTGTGCGAAAGTAGCTCAGAGGAATCTAAGTAAACATCAAACTGGAACAACATTATGTACAGTACACATGCCATGAATTAAGCGTTGCGGAGTGGGAAGTTTTGTTTGAACTTTTGCCTACTGGCTTTTTTTGAGTTTGAATTCTGCTCTTATATTATAAAGGCAACATTCAGGGCATTTTTAATCTTCATGCATCAGTAAGAAGCTGTCCACACTGTGTCTGTACTTACAAATGTGACACTTAATCACCTCCCAGACAAGATATGCTTCTCAAAATTTGACATTTTAAGGACAAAAGTGCCTATGAAATAAAGGACCATCCTACACAGGGTATCTGCAGGGTCAAGCTAAATTTTAGGCCTCAAAAAGTCCTAAATCTACTGAAATATTGTGTTGCAGGTCTTAAATCTTTTTTAACAGGACTTTAAATAATTTAAAGACTTTTTAATTTAATTAATTAAATTAATTCCTTTGTTTATGAATAGATGCCCAATCTGGCCATTAACACTCATAGAGTCACCAACAATCCATCTGAAAAAAACTTTTTTTTTTTTTTTTTTTTAATAGCATAATTTAATTACTTTCCTTACGGTAACATTTGTTTAAACATTCTCTATTTATTTATTGCCGAGGATACTGACCTGACCTATATTTTTTATTGTTAAATTATTATTGTATTATTGAATGTATGAAATTCTAAAAAATTTTTGACAGGGCAAGTGAAAATCTTTTTTAACTGGGATATTCAAAAACATTCTTAGCATTTAGCCCTGTATAAGTCTGATATTTTATTCATAATGGTCTTTAAAAAAGTCTTAATGTCTTAAATTTAACTTGATGAAACCTACAGAAACCCTGCTACAAAAAAAAGTCTTCTTCCCTTTTCAGTTGTACAGACACAGAAGATGGACTTTAATGTGCACCAAGAAATTTTTCTGTATATTTCTCTGGATAGTGAAAGTTTATACTTCAATCCAACATTATGCAAAGAAAACATTTTTGTGTCAGAGAAATTGAAGTACCCTATTTGTGTGTAGATACACTGGTAAGTGTTTGCAAACAATTTATTTAGGCTAAATTTAAACAAATAAATTAAATTTAGTAATGTTAAACTTAATTTTTTTTTGTTTAAATTCAGCCCAAATAAATAGTTTGCAAACAGTTTCCCGAAAACTTTGTGTAAATCCAATCCTTTTTTGCAGTGTATGTGTAATTCTTTAAAAAAAAGTGCATTTTAATTGGGGGTTACCACAATAAAACTGGTGGTGTTTAAAGCTTTTCAAAAATGTGATTTGTATTTGTAAAACTTTCAATGACAAAATTACTTGGTGCTTTTTAGATGCTGAAGGTGACATCAAGCTTATCCCCATAGCGTGACATTATGCTTAATCACTAAGATGAAGGTGCAATTCATGACAATTTGCATGCCAATCCACTGTGAACCATGTCTAATTGAAAGACACTAACGAATGTAAACACTTTACTCAACAGGTTAAACGTGTCCACAAAGGAGGCAGCATTAATATAAAGTTCTAATACAACAGTAAATCACATCTCCACAGTTAGAGCAAAGATTGCACAAATATTTCATTTAGCACATGATGTTGCAGGTCGGAGTTTGACACGGCAGGTCTACATGCAGAGAAAAACCTTCCCAGAAGGGTGCACTGTTAACATATCTGTCCGAGCTGTCACATTCACTTTCACATCCTGAAAAAGGACACGGCATGCTTTTGCAGGTGGAGCGCTGTTTACAGAGAAACAGCTGGATTGAGATCTCCGTGCTCCTTTAAATATTTACAGATACATTTGCGATGTTTGAATTGTGTTTCCAAAGTAAAATCTCGGACAGATTTACAAAGCACCCTTTTAGGAAGTTTCAATCTGCACTTACACTGGTGTAATGCTTATGGAAATATAGATATTTTATCACTACTGTTCATCTATTAAAGTAAACATGTGGAAATGTCTGAAATCTTCAAATCACTTTTGCTTTGCTCACAAAATTGCCTAAAGACCACAAAAAAGCCACAACTGATACGAAGAGCAAAGTTCACAGTTTTCGACAGCAGAAGCAGGCTGCACTGTAACAGGGACACTAGCCCTAAATGAACAGCTCACAAACACTGACAAGTTTTGAAACTGTTTACCACTTATGGGGTGTATGATATGCATGAAACATTACATTAAATGCCTAGCTTAGAAACTCAAGTGAGTGAGGAACAGAGAAATGATTGTACGCTTTGCACAGCATGCAGTAGCTGAGCCTGACAGGAAGCTAGATGCCTCCTAATTTATTTATCTTTCTAGATATTGGTATTTTTAATAGGGAGGCACATTATGTCTTTAATAAACGGTGAATTTCAGGGATTAATGCAGAAACTTGTTGGACTTTGCTCAGTTGTACTGGAAAAAGTTATCAGGGTGAGTAAGGATTTGGCGGCAATCTGAGCTGAAATGACATAACTGTGATGAAAATGGCCCACCGGAGAAGTTCTGTTATCATGGTAGCAGATGCTTTAAGCTAGTGATGAAGATTTTAGTTTATGCTTTAAAAATGTGGTATTGAGAATTAGTTAAACGGTTGCTGTTTGGCGACTGTCTAAGAATGTTCAAGTTACTCAATCACACATCTAAAAGACTGAACTACTATATTTTATTAAGCAGTTTCCTTAAACAAGCTGGTTTGACCAGGCTTCTTCTTTGTACTTTTAATTATTATGTAAGGTATTGTTTCTGTGCTGGGTTATAAGTTAGGTAATTTTTAACCTAGGTATTTTTAGATTTACTTTAGACTAGTTGAAGCAGTGCCGTGCCTGGTGTTAAAATATAAAAATGTTTCATTTTTTCCTGAATAAGTAAAAATGGCCTGTTTTGCAGAAGTGAAACCTGATAATGCTGATGTGAAGCGTTGCTTCTGTTTTGTGCATCTGCGACCTGAATGATAAAGTTTAAAATGCAATTTTACCCAATTTTTAAGATGAATCATTTTGGCAAATGCAAAATCTGCTGTAATTTGATAACCTAATGAAAGCTAATCATTCTTTAAAGCTTCAGTTTTGTTCCTCAATTTATTCAAGGTGACAAAAACAAGAATCAGAAGGGAAGTCCTTTTAGTGAACAACCACTTCAATGTGTTTATCACAGAAGTGCACTTGCCACGAACATTTCTGCTCATTTAAAACTGAATTGATAATCATTTTTAAGGTTTAGTTTTGTTTTCATGTACTACTTGAGTGTGCTAGCCTTTTTGAACGCGTTCATATAGAAATAAACTAAGCAAGAGATTTTAGAAGAGAAAACGATGAGGTAGATGAGTAAAACAAACGTTTAAAAAATGTCCCTTTTTCCATCACACACCCACTATTGGCCACTTACCAGATGAGGCGTAACCTGTCCTTAAGTGACACATTGAGAAATCAGGACCAGTGGAACGAGTCAGGACTCACCAAGGTGATTTACAACACTCTCATTTGGGCTTTGCTGCAGTTCCCATTAGAGTCTGTTTTATCTGCTGACAGGCATTCCTCTTTCGCCAAGTTCCCCTCAGCATGGTCACTGTCCCCCGAGCTGCCTTTGCTCTGCTCCCGGTTTTCACTCTGCCAGCTGTGTGCATTATATATATATCCATTGTTTGGCCTGACGTTAGGATAGCGTGACCTGTTGAGACATAGGATCTCCTTGAACGCGTACCTGAAATCTGGACTCCTACAGTAGATCAGTGGATTGAAGGCAGAGTTTGCGTACCCTATCCAGTTTAAGATTCTGAAAGTCCAGATGTCCACCGAGCCCTTGGGAATAACATTGAGTACAAAAAATGGTAGCCAGCACAGTGTGAATACACCCATGATGATGCCCAGAGTCTTCAAAGCTTTATGTTCCTTCAGGTAAAACTTGGCCTTCTTGGTGCTCCTCATCTCGCTGTGGTTGTTCGCCACATCTTGATTTCTGCTGTTGGATTTCTGAGCATGAAACCGGCCTTCAGTTTTGTTGATCTTCTTCAGCTGCTTCCTTGCCTCCTGGAACACACGGCTGTAAACAAAAACCATGATGACCAGGGGGATGTAAAAGGAGATTATGGATGACACAATGGCATAGGAATAAGTTATGTCAAATTCACAACAGTATGTATTGTTATAGCAACAGAGTGTCTCGTTATCAGTGGAAATCCACCACTCCATATGGATAGGTAGGTAGGAAACGAGCCCGGCGATGACCCATACCATCAGCACAATGAAGCGAGCTCTGTTCTTGGTCAGTAAGGACTGGTAGCGGAATGGGGATGTGATGGCGATGTAACGATCCATAGCGATGACACAGAGTGTCTCGATACTGGCCGTGACGCACAGAACATCAGTGGCGGTCCAAAAATCACACAAGAAGTGGCCAAAGTGCCAAGTGTTCAGGATGATGTAAAGGGCACCGAAGGGAATCACTACCAATCCCATGACCAGATCAGCGCACGCAAGTGATGTAATGAAGCAGTTAGTGACGTTCTGAAGACGCTGGAAGCGGCTAATGGCTGTAATCACCATCACATTGCCAAAGACGATGATCAAGACAAGAATGGACATGAGTGTGCCCAGCACTGTCATCTGTAGTTCGCTTTTGGTGGAGGCATTAGTATTGTTTGGACAGATAAGATCTTCGGGTATTGAGGACCTTATGTTTCCCATGACCTGACAGAGATCAAGAAAGAAAAGCAGAAGAAAACACGTTAACACAGTTAACATAGGTTTGTGCAAACAGTAAGTAGTAAAAACAGTGTAAATCCATGCAAAGACAAACCTCCAGAAAAGACGTCCACCTCAGCTGCTCCTTCCATGCAAAGTTAAAATACTCCTTTGTGTGTTAAGAATGAGTATATCCTCTTTTCATGGTGACTTTTTCTAGCATGCACTCTCTCTCTCTCTCTCTCTCTCTCTCACTCACTTTTGCTCTCTCTCTTCCTCCTTCACAGCTCTTTTCTCTTTTCTCAACCTCTCTCATACGCAGCCAGTCTGCTGAGCGGTGTTACGTTAAATGTGGCTCTCAGGCTATTTGTCAAGCCCTTATAGCATTCTGTGATGACATCACAGCTGACTTTCAGCCAATGAGCATAGAGTGAGGTGAAGGCTGCACTGCTGCTATAGAGAATTAAGGAACAACAGTGAGACACTTTGAGCACTATTTCAAACAGTTCATGCAGACCAGGCTTAACATTGTTTTATGATCGTAAAGGAGCTGTTTCATGAAAGCTTTGACATTTACATGAGAAAATACAAATATACTGGAGATTAAAAGTAGGCACACAAAGTTCAATATTAATGTATAATCTACCAGCACATGCAAATTTCAATTTTATATTTCAATATGATAATTAAGTCTTTTTTTTGACATTTACATTGCATTGCATTATACATTTAACACTTTTATCCTAAAAGACAATAGAGAGACATAAGCAATTCTTTTTAGCGCCTATAGTTTGATCAAATGTGGTACAAATGCCTTGGATAAAACAAGGCTAAATTTGGCCTGTCAGTGAAAATCTAACGTCTAATAATAGGCTAAAACTAGACTAGTCATCAAATAAACAGAAATAAATGACTACCCAAAAAAGCTGTTAAATCTGTCACTAGTCACACGATTAGTCTAGTTTTGAGCTATTTTTAGATGACTATTAGATTGTCACTGACAGCTCAAGTTTAGCCTTGTTTTAGCCAAGCTGTCTATGTTTAGATGTCTATTAGACATCTATGAAACACAAAATTGTTTGCTAGGTCAGTTCTCCTGCAGGATTTGATCATTTTGAATGAATGAAAGCTACCAGATGGACATACTCTTGGAGAAATGAGTCGTGATGTGTGGTTTTCGTCACCATTGTCTCCATTATGTGTGGTTTTGTTCTGCTCTCTGATGTCCGTCCGTTTCTAATGTGGATATGGGCTGGAGATTGGGTAAGATGTGGCTGTTGTTGTTTCTGCTGGAATATTAGAGAAAGAAACTATGACAGGATTTGGAGTGGGTATGATGGCTCCTTTTCAACACTATTTCTCGTGAGAGGCATGACACTGGAGTGCGAATGTGACAAAAGAATGGGATTTTAACAGCGGTGTCCAATCCTGCTCCTGGAAGGCAGAGTTTAGTTCTAGCTGTTATTAAATACACCTGAACCAGCTAAAAAAGGTCTTTAGGATCACTGGAAAATAGCACGACCCTCCAGGAGCAGGGTTAGCCGCCTCTGGTTTAGAGATTTCATGGGAACTGTAGATTTAATTGGTTTTACCACCTGTGGGTTCAGACTGAATGAAGAGGCTGCCAGGAAATATGGGTGTGGTACTTGTTTGTACAGTTGTTAAAAGAATTTATGCAATCTTTATGATTTGTTGTTGAGTCAGAAATATTCCTTTTATTATCTGCATGTTTTATTGGTGTTATTTTCAGTACACTATCTATCTATCTATCTATCTATCTATCTATCTATCTATCTATCTATCTATCTATCTATCTATCTATCTATCTATCTATCTATCTATCTACACTAAAAAATATTGGGTTTCACATAAATTCGATTAAGTTATCTATCTATCGATCCATCTATCCATCTACACTTTAAAAAATGCTGGGTTAAACATAAATAGTTTGTTGTCTCAACTCAAATCGATTAAGTTATGTTTTTAGTTCATTTTAGTAGCAGTTTTTAAATAATTTCTTTTCTATATTGATTTATTTTGTATTTTAATTTCAGTTTTAGAAATCCTTACAACTTAAATGTATTTGTCGTGGTTATTGTAGTTATAAATGCAACATTTCTAATTTTCACTTACTTAAATTTGGTTACTTAACATTTATATTTTATTATTATGGTTGTTTTAGTTGAGAAAAAAATGAGAATATTTGTGTGTCGTTTGAGACTTCTGTTTTTGCAGTGTTTGGTATTTATGGTTCCTAAAAAAAGACTCTTCATTTTCAATGCAAAAAAATCTAGCAATCTGATATTTCAACCTGTCGCTTGTTCAACATTTAAAGGTTGAAAACATTTTAAAACATTTTAAAGTGCTACCATAATTCTTCAGTATCAGCCTGGACAGATAATCCAAAAGGTTTGTGGACAGGGGTGATCTAAGCGGAGAGCAACTGTAGAGAAGCTGTTGTCAGTTCAGCAAAGCTTTTAAGCACAAATTGCTCCAGGTCACATAAAAAACATGCACTAAAAAGAGCTTTAGGTACAAAGAAGTGTTTACAAGATTAGATATATAAAAATAAAATAAAACAGGAACAGCCAGTAATGAAATGTCCATATCTTTCAGGTGCGACAGACCAGAAATGGTAACCAAACTGTTTTGCTTATCAAATTTATGCAAATAAAGATGGACATACAGTAGCTTTCAAAGTTTTGGAGCTTTTTAAAAATGAGTTTCTTATACTCATCAAGGCTACATATACATAAAATACTGAATATTTAATATCATCATTGTGAATTATGATGACAATATTAAATAAATGCTTTCTGTTTTTAATTAAACATATTCCTGTGATGGCAAAACTGATTTTTCAGAAGTCAAAACAAGAAGTCAAAAAGACATTTGATAGGAGATATAGCAGAAACAGAGCACACGGAAATACAATATCAAAATCCAGCGACCAAGACTAAACAATGAGGCTTAAATACACAGACTAACAAGCAGACGAGATAATTAATAACTAGAGCAACAAACAGGGGTGACACAAGGATAACCTGGGATACAGAAAAAAGCACAACAAATAAATAGTGCAAGACAACCAGGTCCGTGACAAATGAGCTAAAAGGAAAATAACCACTTTTATTTAAAACAGAAATTATTTTTATAAATGTATTTTCCATGTATTTTTGCTTTTGATGAATTCAATGCTTCATTGTTGAACAAAGGAGTCATTTATATAAAGAAATTACCTGTAAAAAGGCTAATTTTGGTCATGAAATATACTGTGGGTCCATGATTCATAATACATAATTTCTCCGAAAGTCTCTGTGTTGTGGTTTTTGGGAATTGACCTCATCGTTGTTACAGTTGGCTTCACTTCCTGCAAAAACCGCCTTATACAGTATGTTCTAAAGCATAATCCTAATCTCAGCGCTTTAAACTGATATGTATGTGGACGGATTCATTGAAGTCAACTGTTTATTCTACTTCTATCACTGGGATCTTCGTGACGTTAAAAAAAAACACACCCACATGATCAGGAAATCCAGATGCTGGCTGGCAGAGTTATAAAGGGCAATGGTGAAAAATGGATAGTGGTCCTTCAGAATGCTCTCTGTGGAGACAGGGCCGCCAGTGGATACTGCAGTGGGAGCTGTGTTTTCATGTTGTTTCTAATTGGTCTGGTATGTATTGGCTCAACATCATAAGGGCTGTGTCCTGCTGTAGGCGTGCATATTCTCTGAGTATGGGAGCTGAATTCCTCAAGGAGAGGAGAGGCATGTGGATTTGTCCTAGAGGAGAGGAGTTGTTTGTATGACCCATGATTAGTCTGACAATTGCAGGTGGAGAGAGACTATGTATGAAAATTGTCAGTTTGCTCAAAGTTAATTTTTTCAGCAGTTCTAAATTAATTGTATAATTAACGCCTTTGGCCCACCATTCTGAAACACTGCCATTTAATGAGATTTGAATGAAGGATTGTTGTACACCACTTGAGTGCCCAAACTGCCGTTTCCATTGAACAGAATGCAATAAAAAACTTAAATAACTGCTGTTGCACTGTAGATTGTATTTCATATCAGTCTTGCCATGTCCCGCAAGTGAACCAAGCAACCTGATCATTTCATCCATCCATCGATCTATCATTCCGTCCATCCATCCATCCATCCATCCATCCATCCCTCCATCCATCCATCCATCCATCCATCCATCCATCATTCCATCCTTCCACCCATCCATCCACACGGCAAAATTTATCTCGCCAAGGCTACATTACAGCTTTTCATTCAAAACATTCAGTCGTTTTTTTTTTTTTTTTTTATAGCTGGTAATGATCGCATAAAAACGTATTAGAAGGTAAGTGAATTATAACAGCGTAAACTTTTCTGTAAGCGTAGTAGTGCTGTAGGTCATTGGTTTAACCCTTTAAGGTTACGTGCTCATTGACAGGTGTGTGATGCGTGAGGCCAGCAAACATGACATATAGCCGTTTCATTTTACTTCAGGACGCATTAATACCGATCTGTATGTCTATTGGAGACATTCATAAATATTCCTAGCAAATCTAATAAATGTTGGAGACATACTTGTTACATAAACGCACTAAATCACACTTCAGCAGCATTTATTAAAAAGCGCACAAGAAGATCTGCGCTTGAGCAGTGCATATTTGAGGGGGCGTGCAAAAAGTTTTGTGCACAAGCAGAGGAAATCGGCACGCAAGCAAAGAGATTTGCATGCTATTGCATAAATGAAGTCTCGACTTAATACTGCGACATTTGTCATTGAAATAACACCACAGGTAGTTTGGTAGATCTGTGTAAAAAAAGCCTGCCGCCACAGCTGGAAAAATTCCTAGAGGAAACACTGCTCCATCTATATATCTTTTCATCTATCAATCTATCGTTCCATCCGTCCGTCCGTCCATCCATCCATGCATCTACAACTTGCTACAGTATTTATGATTTGAACCCACTTGCCTTCATTACTGCCTTAACCTGTTAATGTTCCAG